GATGTTAGCCCATCATGACCCTAGGACACAGCGTAACACACGCAGCCTTGTGGGCCGCCGAGCAACGCTGGCCGGGTCATGTGTGCTGTGCATCAACCCTTTGGCTGGGTCTCTTCGGGGCGATGAACGTGTTTTCTGTCTTGGCGTCGGGGCCTCTCTGCTGGAAGCGGCCTGGCTGGGGCTACATTCAGCGTACTGTATTCCTAAGGTGGTGGATGATACCTAAAAGCAAGCCGCTAGGTCGAGTTGTTCCGATGGCTTTCCTGGCTAGACACATCTCACACCTGGTGCTTGATACAGGGCAGCACTCTGTATGCCCAAAAGAGAGTAGTGTAGCATTATGAACAATGACCGGAATGATGCATCACAGACCCGGACATGTCCTTTGTCGAGGCTCATTTTCATAAGGCGTTAATTCGAGCCTCCGGACAAAGAACTATACTCGAGATGGCATTTCTTTGGGCTTCAAACAAGGGTTACGTCTCTTTCATTCTCGTCGCGGAGATTCAAAAACGTGAGCTTTGGACACGACGGGACTCGGATTGAACTCAAAAAGCCTTTACATTTCCGCCATCTCTGAAGAACAGCCATTGATCGTCAATTGCCTTGAGCATTCACAGAACGAATCATACATACATCTATCCGCTCTCAAGTCGCCGACATGCCTTTTGGGTACAGGACTGTGGCGGCGAGCGACTCGCCATGGGATCGGGAGTATGGGACTGCAACAGACAAGGCCTTCATCCCACCGGGACGGTCAGCCTTGGACCCGGCCTTCCCCCCTATGGACCCACGGACACTTCATCCCCTGAGCGCAGACCATCAGAATGTCTTGGACATTCATCATCCGAGCCCTATGGACAAGCCTTCGCCACCTGAACTGGACGCGTTGTTCTACTCGGAAAGTTCTCAGATGATGGACTTCCATGGCCTGCGAACCTTTGAGGCCGCAGCACTTCATAATCCCGCCTGGAGCCAGAATCGACTGGAAGAGGTCAGCGTGTCTGTCAAAGAGAGCAGCTGGCTGAACGTTTTCAAAAAGATACGGTGGTGTTCATTCGAGAGACCCATTATAGAAACCTCGCCAGGATTGGCTGCAGCTGGATTTGGCATGGCCGACGATTGGAGCGTGGACAATCCGGCCGTCTGGGGTCCGTTGTCCACGTCAATAGAGTTGGCCAACCGCATCATTCTGCAGTCCTTCAAGACACCATGGTAAGTCGTCAAGAGAACGGCCCTTCAACTGTGGTGGGTGAGTTTTAGCCTCATAATTGCTTACCATGTTGCAACGAAGGATGCAGGCGCTCTTAACGCCAGAGAATTGGGTCACAGAGTTGCGTGACGTTCAAGACGCCCGCCGACAGTTCCCAGTAATACCGAACGCTCCAGTGCCCGTGTTCTTCCCAGATCCAAACCGGCCGGACAAGACAGAAGAGCAGTGCAAGCAATATGTTCAGGGTCTTTTTGCGACACAAAAGCCACTGTGGCATTTGCATGCTGACACGGATGACCGTAGCAGGGTCTGGATGGGATTTGCAAGTACCAACACCAGACCAGACCTTATTTCAGATTCGGGATACGGTTACCATGTCAATCATCTTGCTGCCTTCGTCGATGTAGACCCCTTACGAACCATGTTGAACCCCAACGCTACGTCGCATTCTCGCTACATCGCGAGAGCCATGTTGGCTATTACAGTATGTCTACCCGTGCTCCTCACAGCTGCCATTGTTAACACGGTAATCTTCCAGATAAGCCATGAACTCATGGTAAGTACAACGCAGTTCTTATGCGTACATAGGGAGGTATGCTTTAGTTCACACTGACGAACCACGCCACAGCACATATTGGTCCTTCAAATCTTTAAGCTGAGAGGTTGGTCGGCTGGCCGCGAGCAAATAGTAAGGTTCATTGAAGATATAATCCTTGAAAGAAAAGAAGCTAACAGTAGTGCTCTCTAGTACTTCAATGGAGAACGTATGGCCGAGTTGGGCCACTCCTTTATTCAAAATTTCTTCGGAAATGCTGTTGAAAATGTGCCACTGAGACTAGGAAAATACATGGCATTGCGCGGACCCATGGCCGGCTCTGGACCCTTCTTCAACGCTTACTCGACCTTTTTCCCCGAATCTCATATCTCCATGAACGGCTACACTGCCTTTGTACACGTCGTTCCCGATCTGCCGGCAGACCCTCTGGCATACAGGAAAGATACAAGGTACATACAGCCGGTGTTTTGGTTTCGTTCCTTGAGCGATCCCATTTTCTGGAATACCCATGTCAGAAACTTTGGCCAGCCGGCCTTGCAATGCCCACTTTTCCTGCAAGGGACTCCAGTCACGCCGACTGATTTGAACAAACATCACGAACACATCAGGTGGGATGTTGCTGCCGCGAACTTGATGACAGCCAACTTCCAGAACGACATGCAGACGGCACGCGCCGATCTCAGCCTGGTGCGGCACGCCGTAGCGACGTGGCGACCATGGCATCACCGAGCTCATGCGCAGTGGGCTGCAACCGTATACAGTCACGAGCAATTTCGGGGCCAGCTACACGAGATGGTGGATTGTTTCCGATCCCCCATTGCAGGCATCGCCGGGCCACTGAAGGAACACAAGGCTGCGAGTTTCGTGGCCAGGGTGACGTCCCCATGGTTTAGAGAATACGTCGCCAGCTGGCAGGCATATCCGCAACCTCACTGGCTGGGGTATTTCCCAGACTTTGAGACCATGCACCATTGTAAAAGGGCCAAGGCCTTCTTCTATCAATCCATGGCCTTACTCGTCGATGCAGCTCTCGCTCCCAGGGATCAAGAGATCAAGTTCCAGGATCCGCCGCTACCTCCAGCGCCTCCCAGAACCTGGCGACGAAGCGGGAACAAGCCCAATCCGGTTGGCTACGACCCGATCGCATATCACGAACAGCCCGCTCCAGAGCAGTACACCATCGAACCCAGACACCAGCCATACAATCAATTTACATCAGAGATCCGAGTCCGCGCAAGAAACGTTGAACTAGCGTACCGGTGCTACTGTATGTACAGGTGGTTCGTCCTGACGACTCAGCCTCTCGACACCGCGTTCTTTGCGCAGTTGAACTCACACAGAGCTCAGCTGGTCGCTCTTCAACAGCATCAAATCACGCATCCGCATGCTCCCCAGCCTTTGATCCCCTTCACGTTCCAGTTACCGCCGTACACCGAGACGGCGCAGTTTCGCGCTGAAAACTTCAACGTCTTGGCGATGACGAAGATGCTGGAGCTCAACCCATTGCGAGCTGTGCAACATCTATTCCAGCCTGGCCAGGACATTTTTCAGGAGTGGCTTCAATTGCCTCAAGATACAGTAATGCATCCTTTCCAGGCACAGCTGGCGCGGACTGTGGAAACCCGCGGTTGCGAATACTTGACGCTGGGCAGGCTATACGACCTGCGTGTTCGAAAGGATAATGTCCTCGTGCTGGTTCTCTTTGACTCGGAGATCGAAATTTTCGAGCTGGAAGATGTCATGCAAGTACTGAAGATGACGGCTGAAGAGGTGCGCGATGAGATGGAGCCATCCGCCTACGGACACGTTCTCAAAAAGAATGTCAGTGACGAGTTCTACGACACAGAACATGACATCCTGCCATTAGGACGGGTAGCTCAATGGCTACGCGAGGAGGATGTTGCCATTCGCAATGGCAAGGAGGGTCGCCCGCACTGGATCACGGCGGCGGGGGGTGTCTATGATTTGACAGGTTTGACTCACCCTAAACTTTCTCTTCGTGCAGCCGACAACCTCTGACGCCTTACAGACTTGGAAGAACCGGCTTCAGAAAGCCAGTCGAAACTGGTGGAGACACTGCTGAGCGCCCCTGGGAGCAACCCGATGCCACGTGTCTTCCTGGGGGATCACAACTTCGACGATGCACTGGCACTGATAGAGCCTCTCAAGATCGGAATGACCCTTCCGTTCGGGTTGGCTGATGAATCTGGCTCGAAAAATGTACTTACAAATCATGAAATTGGATGGAATCAGTTTCCTCAGACACGACAGTACATCCAGATCCATGAACATGCCTACGACATCACTGGTATGCTCTATTACACCTTCAGTTCGACCCGCGTAATCCGTGCTGATGAAAACTTGACAGACTATGCCGAATGGCATCCTGGAGGCTCAGAAATTTTGGCCCGTGCTGCCGGAACCGATGCTACGAACCTTTTCGAGGAGTACCATTCTGAGAACGGAGAAGACCTCTTGGAAGCCATCCAAGGCCTGCGGATAGGGCGTATTGTACCATCCCGTACTCGTTACGAAAAACTCTCTACAACCGAAATTCGTATCCAGGACACGATCTTCGATATTGCGCCCCTTCGGGAGACAGAAGCGGAGCTATTTGTTGCTCTCAAACACTACTGTGGCAAAGATGTTTCGAAGAAAGTCCTCGCGATAAAGCCCAGCACCGAGCCCTCAAAGACACACCCGTTGTTGCTAATGTCGAACAGCAAGCCTGAGCTAATCGTCACGAAAATAACGCGCGGCATGGAAGACCTGCCACTAATGAGCGAAGCTGAATTGGTGATGCATGACGGCGGTCTATATCACGGTCATGATGGGTATGCAGCGTCATATGTGGCTTACGACGGCGCTGTGTTTGATGTTACAACACTGATGCAATACGGTCCACGTCCTTTTACCGATGTTCTAGGCAAGTTCCTCGGCAACCTTATCCTATCAGGTGCACGAGAAATTCGACTTGGGCAACTGTTGCAACAACGATTTCCGTTTCGAATTGTCGCCAGGCTCGCCAAGTTTGACGAGCCCCTTGAATCACTGGCTTCAGAAGTAGTCCGGTGGCAAGAGCAGCGAGACTGGCCAGCGACGTACAACGAGCTGAAAAACTACCTATTGCGCGAGGATGAGACGCAACAAGTCTCCTCACCAGCGGACAAGAAACGCAAAGAGATGTCTCAACAGATGAAGAGCCCGTATAATGCTCCAGAACATAACATAGTCCAGGAAAATCCGAAGCCGGAACAAGAAAAGCGCTTACCGGAAGAGCCATCGAGTATTTCATCAGGGAGGGCCATGAACCTACAGAAGCTTGCACCAGTGGCTTTGAAAAAGTTGCAAAAGCAACTAATGACAATTCGTGGATCACGGGCGAAGACGAAACGAGTGCAGGAAGAGGCCGTCCGATCGGGATCGCGACGGAAGAAACGCCCCTTTGAGTCAGAGTCTTGGGTGAGGCATGAGCCTGTGAAGCGCGTCAGAGTAGCCTAGTCCTGTATTCCAAATCATGCGCCGCGTCCGAATGCCGACATTATTCTTTGAAGCCCTCAAGCCTTTACCATTGGCTTAAATTGTGTTGGTATGGAGAAAAATCAACTTCGTTGACCTCATGCTGCAAGTCCAAATGGTTCAGAGCATGACAGTATTCTCCCTCGACTTTCGTTGTGGTGAGTCTCGGACTACGATATCTGCCGGAGAAGCTTGTGTAAGCGGACTGTGCAGCGGAAACCAGCCACGTTCTTTTACTCCTGAAGGCTTACGCCGTAAGGTTAGGACCACAAGCAAGGTACTCCTCCATCGGTAGAGCCATGGCGATATGTGATAGTGACTGCTCTGGCAATATGTATTCCCATGAATGACACAGGGTTCATGTCTGTAGAAGAGCTGACTTCTAAACTACTTGCATGCTTTGAAGTCGAATGGCTCATTGTTTTCTTGATTGTGTAGGGGCCCCTTCGCCAGTATCTGAGCTGTGAAGCGTGGAGTGTTTGACATCAAGCGACTGATAACGCTCGGCACTGCTGCAGGGAGTCGACACCCGACTTTAATGGCCATTTTTTCTCCCACGATATGGTGCAACCCGATGCAGCCTACTAGTGATCAAACATGTATCTCACTGCATTGACACTAGAACTTGAATTGAAAGCGCTTGGCGGAGGTGTAAGCAGATGGGTCAGCCCAGGTAATCTTCATTATGGGGTGATGCACAAGTATCCGAAGCTTCACAACCCCCCAGGCTTTCCCATGATGGGTCAGAGCGTGTCAGGGCCTGGGCTCTGGAAAGAAGAAAACAATAGTCGAAGGGGACATCGTTGCGGAATGAGATTACGATCTCGGGACGGCCCCTGATTCTGACGCGGCCAGGCACTGGAGATGAGATATCAGCTAAGACATGCATGCATGGCAAAACATGGGTCAGGATATTTGTCCCTCCCTTGATCAGGTTGTAGCTCGTTTACCGAAAAACGTTTACCGAAAAAGTCCGGGTCCACGGAGAATAGGTGAAGTTATCCGCATGAGCCAAGCCGAGCTCCGATACATCCGAATCACAAGAATTACATCACCACTGGAAGCGCAGCCGAGGGATTGACTTTGCTAGGCACAGAGAGGCTTTCAACCACTTGCAGCCATTTTGCTCTGGGCTGAAATCCCCACCTAAGTAGGTAGCAAGCTTAGTTATGCTTATTGGCACTTGAAACTAGTGCTTTTTCTTTCGTGGTGTCAGCAGCGCGTCAGCATGCTAACACGACGCTTCGGCATGCATGCCACGGCGGCCCGGCGGATGGGGTCTGTGAAGAGGAATGAAGACAAAATGCATCGGAGGGGGAGAGAAAGATGACCACGTTGGATCAATGCCCACCAGTGGAATGGAGATGGAGCAAGTTATCACGTGGGCCGCAGGAGGTGCTTCATAATTTGTTGGGCAGTAAGAACATCCTTCTCCATTGTGAAGCGGAGGTTGTAGATGGTGTCTGACGAAGTGTCATTGGCGGGGTAGGCTAGAAGACGGCAATGAACCTTGGGCCAGGCGGGTCTGCAGAGGCTACGATTGTCGATCAGTGACATGACCCCGATCTGGTAAATGATCAAAGCAGGGATGTGTGGAGCTCGCTAGGTTCGAGGTGTCATTCGTCTGTTGAGTACGTCCCGGGCCCGGTCGTCGAGGCGCAGCCCACGGGAACTTCGCTGGCCGCTGGTTCCAGCGACTGAATTAATCATCTTGAATGGAAGAGGATCGATCTAAAAGCTTGCCAGGACGAGCAGAGAGCGCAAGGTTCCAGCTCCGAAGCCGAGCACCCTTGGAGCTGTGCCTAACCAAGGTTGATGACGACAAAATGCCTTGGCAAAGGCCAGGTCGACCGCGCCGCGTTCGCAAGGGAGTCAAGCTGCTGGGCAAAGGTCGGCCAATGTGCACCCGAGTCTTGGGCGGCTCTTGGTGGAACGCGCCCTTGCATTCACTCTTCATCAAGTCTGGGATTCAAGCGCCTGGGCGACAAAACAGTGATGATACTTTTCGTTTTAGTTGGGATTTTGGGAGTCACTAGTCGGCTAACAAGGCTCGTTCCTCCACGGAGTCCATGGAGACCCTTCGCGGACCGAGTTGTTGGAGTTCCCATGAAGTGACCAGGCATGTTCTCTGGCACCTGGTCGGGTTTGTTTCTTTCCGGGCGGACGACAAGCTCGGACTGGGCAGGGACCTTCGTAGGTTTCCGTGGATCTAGATGGGGACATAGCCGCTTGCCCTGACACTTTGTCCGTCGATTGACGATCCGCCATTTCGCCAGTACACACAGCCACGATGGGAAGTACAGGCTCGAAAACAGGTCTGGTGGAAGCGCAATAAAGTGGTGGGTGTCAGGCTGGTCTGGTCGATAGAATGTGTGAATTTGTCCATGAAACATCTTGGTCAAAAGCTGGGGAATAGTGATGGGGACCACACGTGCACACTAGAGCTGGACAATGTCTGCCTCTGGCATGGAGCTTCTTGAGCTCAAAAGGTGTAATCCTGTGGATGATCGTATGCCAAGCCGTCGGGCCCAATAATTGGGAGGCAATCGGATGAAGTTTAGGTATAGCTCCCGCGCTAAGATGGCGGCTGATGGCACATCCGGGACATTGATCCACTCCAAGAGATCGACAAAGTGCAGGACTGCTAGGACCAGTACTCAATTAGGCATTTGCCAAGAGGCTATGCCTCGCGTCCAACTCTATCCGTTCGTTCGACCGGGTGCGTCTGACGACTTGCTGCTCTTCTCGGTGACTCGAATACCTTACTGGCCCTGATGAAGCCTTCTCGCCAAGTCTTCTGCTTCTCGCTGCACAGCCTGCGAACCTGGTGACCGTTGGCTGATGACAGGGGCCAAGACACCAGCCCATGGCGTCGATCGCGGAAAAGCATCTTGAATTTGGGACTATGAGGCTTGGCCTCACTGATACGAAGGCTTGCCAACACACAGAAGGGATGCAACCGGAGCTTTCCAAGCCCCTGGATCACTCCTTGGAGCCAATGGAATGCATCGAAATGAGCAGGGAGGGACTACGATGCCAGAAAACGACATGCTGCTTTAGACTCCTTCGGTTGTCTCTAGGCCCAATCTTAACCAACGACCAACCATGATGAGCCAAAAGGGGTGACCACAGCGTCCATCAGCCCGTCGGAGTCGTTGTGTCCCGTCGAACGCCGAGCTTTTGATCCACCCTGCCGGCACCTAATCTGAAATCTGCCGCCTTGCAGACGGCGTAGTGTTGTTGTTCGAGAGGACCGCGGAGAGCCACCGGAATGACGACGAGTATGAGGACGCTCGTTCTTGGCTCGCGTCCATCACAGGGCACTTGTGATCCTGGTCTTCTCTGATGCCTGCGGGATGATGCATGGCGTATCAAGCGGTTCCTCTAGCGATCTATATAACGAGGGCGAACGCCGACCACTGCCACTAACCTTACACTCCATCATCAGTCACATAATCATCATCCCGCCAACGACATACCTACAACCTCATCCCACAACACACTCTTTTACCGAAGACCCAACTACCAAGCATCCATCACAATGAAGTTCTCCGTCGCTGCTCTCGCCCTCGGCCTCACCGCCGTCATGGCCACCCCTACCAAGAAGATCATTCACAAGGGCGCTTCTGCCTTCCCTTTCGCCTTCACATCGACTTTCAGCGTCTATGCCACTCCTGAGGAGGTCGTCAACCCTGAAGGCGTCTACACCGGCGGTCTCAAGGGCTCGAAGTCCTGGTTCAACCTCGGCATCAACTCCCACGAGGATATCATCTGCTACAACATTTCTGTCTCCGGCTTCCAGGGCGAGTACCAGTCCCCAGCCCTGACTGCCACCCACATCCACCAAGGTGCCAAGGGCAAGTCTGGACCTCCTAGGTATGTTTTGATTCTTTCGCGTCCCTGATTCACACTACATGTTCTCATGCGCTCTAGGGTTGTGTTCCCCGACCCCGAGGGTGAAGGTGACGTTCGAACCTCCATCGGCTGCATCAAGGGCCCCTTCGTCACTGGTGTTAAGCCCAACGGCGGTCCCGATGCTGGCGAGGGTTTCACCCTGAGCCGCATTGAGCAGAACCCTACTGACTACTACGTGGACATCCACTCCTCGTTGGCCGTTCCTGGTGCTGTTCGTGGACAGTTCAAGAAGGGTAAGGGTGACTGCTAAATCAAAGTCATCAACCCCAACTGCTCGATGGTTAGCTTAGGATGTGTTGTCACACGGTGAGCAACACGGAATTTGATGAGTGTGTATGCGATAACCATTGTTCACCTTCTTATGCTTGAGCATGATGCTGGGCTACACTTAATGTTTATAATATGGATACAGATGACCAAAAGAATTTAAGATCATCAATGCCTCAAGGTTCTCCTCTGGTACCCTGACGTGACCACTTAAGAACAGATGCAGTTTCGCCCCAGCATTGATAATGCCCTAAAGTTGACAAGTTGAGATGAATTGCTACTTGCAGCAAGCGGAGTTACGTATCAAGCAAAACACATGTTGAAATTTTTGGCCTACGAGGGAAGGTGGCATAATGACTCCTATATCTATCAATGGTGAGCGCACGTTCTTGTTCCAGAGTTATGAGAATTATAATTCTGTCCCCAGAACAAACACATGTATCTAAGTCGCATTCATATCTTACTTTAGAAGGGTATACTGGATTGCACACAGCTCCTCGAAAACTCGTTTTCCAGCACGTTTGCCAGCAAGCCTAGACTTTGGTAGTTGTCATCAGTGAATAAACCTGGCAATGCGGGTTCCTGACTTCGCACAGAGACGCGTTGCCGCATAGCTTGTTCGTACACAGTACGACCTTCTATGGAAGGGAGTTGGGAAGTTTGCCCTTGACAATCGTGCAAGGGCGACACGTGGGCATTTTTTAGCCGTCAAATGTGCTGGATCCTGCAGTTTATGCTGCTGATTCAAACCTACCTTTTGAAAGAAGTACAACATGGGCCACTGATCTGCAACTAGTACTTTACTTCATCAGGTTTGCAAGAAGGTTTGATTGCGGGAACTTGATACAGGATTTTATTTCTTGACTCAGCCTGGTACAAGGGGTCGACCACGCAGCCTTCACAGCTCAATTGGCGGGTCATATATACAGGAGGGCTTTCCGTGAGCACATAACTTTTGCCACACAACTGATAACTCAACGAGACGCGAACGAGGAAATACTCATCAACAACTTGCAGATAGGACATGAACCAACCCCAGACGCTCAAGAACACACCTCTGCACATACGGTTACGCAGAAGCAATGATCTTGGCCGCGGCGACTTCAGCAATGCCGTAAGCGGCTGTTTGGATGTGAGCCGAAGGGATAATGGGAATAATGCTGTTATCAACAACACGCAGGCCGGTCGTTCCGTAAACGCGAAGCTCAGCATCCACAACACCACCATCCTTTCGGGGCAGCATGGCACAGGTTCCAACAGGATGATAAAAGCTACCCATGGTCTTCTTCGCGAACGCGCGCCACTGCTCGTCGGTCTGGACATCTGGGCCAGGCTCAGTCTCGGCCTCCCAGGTTGCCTTGATGGATGCAGTTTCGGCGATGCGGCGAGAAAACTTTGCGCCCTCCACAAGAGCGGTAAGATCATACTCGTTGCTCAAGAATTTGGGGTCGATGATGGGCTTCCCAAGAGGGCTCTGGGGGTCGATATGCACACTACCGCGCGAGAAGGGATGCATGACCGTAGCCAGGAAGGTTACAAACTTTCCACCAGTGTAGCCAAAGGCGCCGACATAATTGGCTTCGTAGATAACTTCCACCGAAGGGATCTGGGAGTTGTTGAGGAATTGCAGCTTCTTGGCGTCGACCACATTCTGACTGGAGCCGAAAGCGTTAGTGGCAATTTGCTTGATCTTAGCCTCAATGCCGAGCTGCTTCCAGTTCATGAAGCCGTAGGCTGCAGTCGTATACTCGTACAGCGACTGCTTGCCCTCCTGCCACTTCTGCAGTTCACCTGTGGCGTTGGCCCCCGCGTTGTCAAAGATGAGGTTGTCGAACGAGTCGATGCCATCCTTTAGTCGGTACGTGTTGGAAAGGCGGATGTGGTCCTGGTAGTTTTCGCCCACACCAGGGAGGTTGACAAGGGGAGTGATGCCGGCGGCCTTAAGAACATCGGGCTGGCCGACTCCCGAGAGCTCAAGAATACCCGGGCTTTGGACAGAACCAGCAGAAACAATGACCTCCTTCGTGGCCGTGATGATGACACCACCGGGAAGGGTTACGCCGGTCGCCTGGTACGAACTCTTGCGCTTGACCAAATTGACCTTCTCAACCTGGGTATTCGTCTTGACAATCAAGTTATTGCCAGCCAGAGGAAGGTAGCTGCTTGCCGAGTAAGATCGAGTGTGCTTTGTAATGTCGATGTTGGTCGGCTGGAAGCCTACTCCAATGGGCTCACCACCCATGCTCTGGCGGACGTTGATGTTGGTGCCCAACTCGCTTACGGCAGGCTCCCAGAGCCTCAGCACAGGGTATACCACACGATTGTAGTAGTTGCGGATGGGCCCCTTGAAACCATGTCGGTCGTCATCGGAGTCGGTAAAGTTTTCCGACTTGGTCATGGCATTGATCATGGTGTTCCAACCCCATCCCTTGTTGCCGAACTCGGCCCAGGACTCGTACTCTGGCGCAGACGCGCGGTCGTAGCAAAGGTAGTTCATGGCAGACGAGCCGCCGAGAACCTTGCCGCGGTTCACAAGAACCGAGCGGCCATCAAGCGCCGACTGTCCTACCGTTGTGAAATTCCAATCAAGCTCAGACCCCAAGATTGACCCCCGGAAACCAGGAACATTGATCCTGAGATCATCGGGGGCGGCAGGACCTGCCTCGACGAGCAAGATCTTCGATTTGGGGAGGCCCAAACTCAGACGCGTAGCGAGAGCGGCACCAGCAGTGCCACCTCCTACTACGATCTGCCACCCTGTCAGCGTGCCTGGAACGTGTCAAACCGCTCGAGCGGTACACAGCCTTCACTTACGTAGTCATACGAGTCAGGGTCAGCAGAAACACTGCCACTGAGCGCAATGGCTGCAAAAAGAGACCGTAAAAGCTTCATGACGGATGATGATGTTCGCTGGTTGGAAAAAAGGTGCAGGAGGAAGCAACGAGCTTGATGAGAGTCGCTTGCAAAGGACGCTCACCTTTACCTTCTCTGTGAACGAGGCTTGCAGTGTTTATCAACCTGGGGCAACGGCACCGCTTGCCGGTACAATCGTCCCTGGAGCCACGAGGGACTTCGCTTCGAGCGTTCACGTTGCATTCGCCGAGCCTTCTGCAGATAGAGCCAATAGTTGCTCGATCAATGGCTAGGTATAGCCTCATTCCACAAGCGAACAAGTAACGGACGATACACAATGACCTTAGTAAGCCCAAAGAGCCTGAACGCAGCCTGTATTCGCGACGAATCAACATTGCAGCTTCTCGCGTACGAATGCTCCTCGCCAATACTTCCGAGATTGCCGCAGAAACGTGGGGCTCAGGCAGCCGGTAATGCTGCAGGAGACGGTCAGCTTCCTGTAGCCAGGGACATTTTGACAGAATGTGTTGCGTAATTGGACTTCATTCCCTGTACCGGTATCGGATCACCTGCTTGGTCAGGAAGGAGATATTGGGGCCATGAGATGGGAGACTCAGGGCCTGCATCTAGACAAGGTCACAGCTGAAATAGCCGGCCCGACCTGTCACCGATGCCCCGAGGCCTTGCGGAAGCAACGGCAGGCGGCGGGGAAGCTCGACATGCTGGATCTAGCCTCTGGGAAGAGCTTATGGTTAAGTCAAAACAGGGGTGCTAGATGGAAGCTCTCTAAGCTGCCTGTCGTCCGAGACCCTGCTGTGGTGGTAAATGACTCGCTCAGGGGGAACCTGGTCAGTCACAAATGGTGCCATTCATTTCGGGCCTTGCTACAGGGGCTGTGGAAGCCGGTGGCCTTGCCGAACTTGAGTCTAGAAACGAGGGCGCCTGTTGGCGCTATGTTGCCAGGGTTGTACGAGTGAGCCAACCACTGCGGGGGTGGAGCAGCTTCAAGCGATCTGAACCAGGAAAGCTAGAAAGCTTGAAAGCTGGAGCCGCGTCTGTGCGGAGATGGGTAGGTCGGCACATATACCAGGTTGCCACACGCATCACGGGCATGCCATGGGAATCTATAGTGCAATGGCTTCAGGGTCCTGTAATCGCTTCTGTGTATGCATTCGGAGCAGGACCCTTTCTTGGCTACAGTGTTCATTGCCATGACGAGAAGTGACTCGTGGACAACAGCAAGGATAGAGAGGCGTGTACTGACCGATCATGCGATTGCTCTTCTCCATAAGCTAGCAAAAGTGTGCCTCCGACAAGGGGCCGGCAGTTGTGTAGTTAGCCACTGAGGGGATTTGAAGTCATCTTCGTTACATCAATCGCCGCGCTGTGGATTGTTCCTCGACAACCTTGACGCCACGAAGACGTTCGTGGTGAAGTCGGCACATGGCGTACTAACTAATGATGTGCTGAATGCATGGACTAGGTAGTTAAGATGGGGGGCCTTCGGGAGAGGCTCACAGCTTAAGCACCGAGGATATCCAATACGCCTCTCAGCTGCTCCACAATTGGCCTTGGAGGGAACGGACCGGAGGTCGCGGATGAAACCGTTGCTCAGGCCTTCTCAAGGCCTTCCAGACGCCGGAGATCCTGCAAAGACGTGGGTATTCTCTCCGACTCTGCCTGTAGCGTTATCCTATCACTCGCAGATGGATTATCTGCATCGGCCAAAGCGTATTTGCAGAACGCATGAAAGACACCAACCCTTCGCACATGGGCTATGTTGATCGACGCCGAACCCTGTCTTCGCCGATGTCTGTCTGGTTGTCCTTTGTAATTAAGCTACGTCCGATCCTCGTGGGTGCGACCCATCGGGGTACATATACACCACCAGGTCCTACCAGGCCTGCGTGGCCTTCCGAGCCTTGTAGCCTTTTTTTCTGAGTGGACCCTACGAAATGGCGGACCTGCCTACCATCATCAGGACCGAGACGAGGGGGCCTATGGGCGTCGGTATAGCCGTGGGGTTTGTCTCTGCTTCTGTACTTTGTCTTGCAGGTCGATTCTACACTCGTGGAGTGATTCTAGGATCCATCGGCAAAGATGACTGGAGCATACTGGTGGCAACCGTCAGTCTTGCCTGAGGCGTCTTTGTCTTTTTATACTGACCTGCCGAGCAGATATTCGCTATCGTTGACTCCATTTCCACTTGCCTCCAGGTCAAAAATGGCCTGGGAAGACACTCCGAGAACGTCTCGGCTGCAGAGGGTGCGGAGCACCTAAAGGTCAGTGTCCTACTCACGAGCTTGGTCAAGGAACCCGTCTCGATCTTGTACGGGTTGGTTATGGAGTTTAATGATGCTAACTTTCAGACGTGCACAGTGGCTCTTGGTTGGTATCCTCAGCTATAACCTGGGTCTCAACGTTGTGAAGCTGGGCTTCCTCTTCCTGTATCGACGAATCTTCGAACAACCAATAATGCAGAAAGTGTGCTACTGGTTCATCATTTTCGTCTGCATGTGGACGTGCGTACAGGCTATTCTTCTGTCGCTCGCATGCCTCCCGATCTCGTTCATTGTTCCCAGTATGGTTGGGAAGTGCCTCGATACACTGCCCATCTGGTATTTCTCCTCCGGCATGAGTATGGCGACCGACATTATGATATTCTGCATTCCGATTCCTTCGGTGTTGAAGCTTCAACTCCCTCTGAAGCAGAGAATGCTGGTTCTTGCTGTTTTTTGCCTCGGCTTCTTGTACGTCGTCTCATCTCAGCCCCATACTTTGCTATGTTTGTTGAAGCTAATGATGAGTCTTCAGTGTTTGCATCATCTCAATTTACCGCATATTCACTCTTCGAGCCGGAGTCATCAGTACCGATGCATCGTGGGATAATATTAGCGTTGCAATCTGGTCCTGCCTCGAGCTCAATGTTGCCATTATCGCGTCTTCACTACCAACATTGCGCCCCCTTATCGCCCGTATTCTTCCAGGCGCTGGCCTCTCATCCGCGCGCAACTATCGCAATACATACCATCGGCACGGCTCGGCATCGGCAGCCATGGCGCATAGTGGTTTCCAGTCCACCGAGAGTAGAAGCCAGAAAATGCGCAGCACAAGCACAGAGGAGCTGGCGCTCGACGATTTCAGAACCGAAAGTCCTGCTGCCAGTGTTCCCACAGGAATCCATTCCCACGTTTCTTCGGACACAAGCAAGAGCTTCAATCGACAGGACAATCCGGAGGAGCATCGCATCGTCAAGACAACAGAGATATCAGTGGATGTACGCGAACGATAGCGACTAGAAGATTCCCAATACATACAATGTTCCGAGGGTAGTGAGACATGCAGTCAACGATGCCCCAATCTTCCAAACCACCAACACTTGGCATGCAATTAGGTCAGACACCACGGCTTGAGACTACGAACCATGTCCGGCAACGGCATCCTTTGAGATCACCGGTTTTGTCAATCATCTGGATTGGTAATTTGTCCTTCAATCAATGTGCTATGTTTCAGCGTTTACTTTCTGACACCTGCCATCTGATATCAGTTTCCCGGAACATGCCGAACTGCAGCTTTTCAGGCGGCAGCAATCGTTTTCATAAGGTACCCTAAGATTTATAATGTCGGCAGGGGGCAATGACCAAGATCAGTCCTAAGGTCAGACCCGGCGTTTCATGAGGTAACCTCGCGTAGACATTGTTTCGTTTTGGTGGAGTCTTCCCCCGCATCTATTGTGTTAACCCGAAACGGGTGTGTTGACGCGACGGACGAAGTGGTGAGGCTTCAACAAAACCAATTGTGCTCACGCCATGGACGCAGGTTTATGCCTCACACCTGCCTGAGAATCGTTCCTCAGCATCTCCATATCGGCGGTGTGGCATCTTAAAAGGTATCCAATGCGTCGTCTCAATCACGAGGGCTTTTGAACCTGTTCACTCTCGTACACCGCCCTGTCAGACAAAAGCTTCGCCAACCATTACCAAAGCCACGCTCGTGCCATGTCATCGCGCGAACGCCTCTTGACAAGAGTGAGTCCGGGGGCGTCTGCTTTGGGCTGGGTGCGGCGCAGTCGATTCGTGAATAGCATCAGTCTGCATAAGGACAGTGATGGCGACTCTAGCTGAAGACGCCCGACCTGATTCGAGGACGATTTCGCTTACCAAATAGCCAGACCCTTCGTGGCCAAGTCTTTCAAGGCTGAATTAAGCTTATGTCTTGGCAGCGCAATATGGTCACAGAACACACGCCTTGGGATGGTTCTGTCTTAGTCCCTGCAGCCTGTGACCATCAGCCGCAGCTTTCAGCATCTTGAGAAGCACAATGCGCCGCCACCAGGGACCCGGAACGCCCAATACCGTACCTGGACCTAGCGCCACGATACTTTCATGAGCCGTAAGTCGACGAAGCTATCGCCATCTAGCGCCTCAACATGCAGGTTTGCTTGGCAGCAGGCATATTTGGTCGACCGATAACATGTGGGCGCGATGGCATCCTTCTCGACGTGCCATATAACGTATATTGTATATAAGTCGTCTTTCGGAACAGCAGAACAGGCAATCGAATGTGTTAGCCAGGCTGGTATTGCTTCTCTCAGTAGTCATCTTGTTCACCCCTTCTCTGTGTCCACCATAATGAGACAATTCATCAAGTTGGCCTTCAGCCTCCTCCTTCTCCTGTTGGGGCTTCTCGTCTCGGCTCAGGAAGACTCCGCAGCCATTTCGTCGGGTGGCGGCGCGTCGTCTGTTGAGCCAAGCCCTTCGGACGTACCTGTCGACGTAACCTCCCCCGTCGTAACACCCACTCCTTCCGAAGAGCCAGTCGTCCCAGTTCCTGGCACAGAGTCTCCTTCAGATCAAGGCCCTGTAGATGTACCGTCTTCTGTTGCCGGCGAGGTTTCCATCAGCGCGCAGTCGAGCCCCCTAGTCTCGTCGTCCGATATCGTCGAGGCCTCTGCAACTTCTGCCGACGAATCGTCTGCTACAGACGCATCAGCTAGCGCCACCCCGACTGAAGGCGAGGACGACGGCGAAGCCGAAGAATACGACTTCGAAGCACGCGAAGTGACTCCCTTGGAGAGCAGGCCCGATGTCGTCACAGAAGACGAGCTTCTCGCCGAGGCTGAGGCCAATCTACCCGTTATGGAGATCCCCGAAGAAGACGCCAGAGAGATCGCAGCCCTCGAGGCGAGCATGTTTGAACACTTTGTCAGAAACGACCCCGTCATCAACCCGGAGGACAACATCACGCTTCCTGAATCTGTTTCGAATTGCGAGCTTGGGCTGGGAAAGCGAGACATGGCCGGCGGCTGGTCTGGCCAGTCGAATTCCGGGGTCATGAGGAGACAAGAGTGCAGACCGGTGACACGCCTGGATTGTGATCTTCACATCTGGCACATGCTGTCAGCCAGAGGCGCCAAGCGCCCTGATACCATCGAGACCAGGATCGAGGAGTCGGTGCGTGTTATTCCTTGGGTACTTTGCCGGCCTGTGAAGCTTATGCTGACCAAAAACAGGTGGGTTATCTCAAGTCAGTTTTTGAGCCTCGGGGTATTTACTTCAACCACGTCAGCACGAACTTCAGGCAGCCCGTCTCGACGACGGCCGATTGGAAAACGATCAAGAAGTCAGAGTCCAAGCTCGTCAAGTGGCAGACGGCCAGTCGCGCCGGCGATCACATGGCGCTGAACCTCTGGCTGGTGAACAATCTGGTCCCTGCGAGTGGCGTGGAAAAGGCGGGCGGAAACCTCATGGGAGTTAGTCTTGCCTGCCGCCATTTGACCATTTGGAATGCTGACGAGGCTTAGTATGCCACATTTCCTGAGATGCAGCGTTGGGCGACCGACGGAATCGTCATGCAGCAATCCGCCATGGGAACGCCAGCGTCGACCTTTGTCCACGAGGTTGGCCACTGGCTGGGCCTGCGCCACACGTTCGGCAACAGAGTTGATGACGGCGAAACGGACTGCCTTGTGGGCGACGGTCTTCGCCGGACGACACATACGCGTGGAGACCGCAGCGTCATCTTTGAATGCGAGCAGCTCCCTTGCAATGAGGAGCGCGGCGTGATGCGCATCCCGAACTTCATGAGTGTAAGTCGCCGACCTGGATCACTTTCGTGAATCGCGAATGTCGCTGACAGAAGAGTAGTATTCGAAATGCAAGGGCCAGCCGATCAACGCAGGCTTCCATGTTGACCAAAAGGCTGCCATGTTTGCGCGAACCATCAGGTATCGTCGAGATAACGCTCCAGACGACTGCAGATATATTGATCCTAGAGGCCTCACCATGTACAGTGAAAGATCTGTTCATAAGCGGTCGTCTATGCAAGATCTCGTGGATGGTAAATGCCCTGACCTAGATGCAGAGGCAGATCGGATCCAGAATGAACCCGCCGCAGCGCCCAGCGGCGACGCAGCAGGCGGTGATACGCAAGGAGGATCGGGCGGTGATACGCGGGGGGGATCAGGGAATGGAAACGACAATAACGGCAGCGGAGCTAGCGATCTCGTCATACATTTGGGAACTTGGTGTTTAGTGGGCCTCACCGGCTTCATGGTAGCTTTGATGTAAGGAAGGGGGAGCAAGGGTTTCGCAGGTAGTAAGGGACAACAGCATGAAGGACATGTTGCGATGCGTAAATACAAGCTGAACGATAATTTGCAGTTAGCAGCTTTCAGCATTCCCTATGAAAATAATTACTTGACAATCCGCAGTACGCTCTCTCGAGCTGGAGAGCCACATCCTTTCCTGGCCCAACGTTCCCCGTTGACAATCGGCGGTCTTGCACTGATGCCGCTTTTCAAACGTGACGATATGTGATACACCCCGCACAAGTAATGAGCAAGGTAAGGACAACTAGCAGATGAGACAGGCGAGCTGGGTGTTCCTTGAGATACGGAGTGTTCGCATGAAAAGCGACTTGAGCTGCATTTACCATCGCAGAAATGGGTGGTGGAAAGCGACGTGCTTCAACCTTGGTTCCCCGGATCGCAAAGTATAGATTTCGGAGCAAACGCTCCGTACTGTCTGGCAACCTGTTGCTTTTAACAGCCAAAGACAGCCAACAGAAACAGGCGCATCGCCAAGACGTTTCTTACAGCCAAGGACCAGAGACAATGATGTCATGCTCGATCTGGACCTCTATCTCGCTCGTCGCTCAGGCACGGACATGAAGATCCTTCGGCTTGTTTTGTTCCTGCAGAGAATACAGGATCAGATCACGACATGGGAAATTGACGCGTCGCACAATCGCCTCGTGCCTCGTCACACGTCATGCCAGATGTTCTAGGATATATAGACGGCCCACAGCTCAATCCAGCCAGTTGTCGCTGTGCCAAGACACACATACACCGAGGCATCATCTTCGTAAATCGCAGGAAACGATTGTTCATCCTACACCAGACTATTACGAGTTCATCGCCATGAGGGAAAAGCAATCATCTACGGGAGGTCAGGATCTCCCTACTGGGCCGTCCCTCCCGACCGTCAAGCTCGACACAACCCTCGCCGACCTCTACCGTCAGGCAGCTCCCCGAACGAAAGCTCGCCGCATCGCCCAGGTCCTCTGCGGCGTGAACTCAGGCCTTCCCCTCTCAGCCAAGTTCCCACGAAACACAAAATATCTCTACCAAGACTCGCCCTTCAACACAACAGCCGCCAAGGCCCCGTCTTGCCCTGACGAAAAGGCCGCTCTCACCCGCGAGCTCGCCATGAAGTATCTCTCTCTGATCCCCCAGCGCGACGCCTTCATCTCGGGCTCAGCGCCCGTCATACTCTTCCACATCGACCACGACGATCCGGCCCAGGTCGAACACGACCGCGCCGAGGCCGAAGCCACCGTCTCCGTGCTGGCTTCCGACCAGAAGCCCGAGCTCGTGTTCTGCGCCGGGCCAGCCGACATCCCCGTCCAAGAGAAGGGCATCGACGCCATTGCGTACAAGCTCATGGTCGATGGCCTGGAGAAGTATGACCTGCTCGTGCAGCCGGATGTGCACTGGTTCGTCAACTCGAAGGACGCCCTCGCAAAGTCTGGTCTGCCAACGCCAAAGTGCGAGATTATCGACCTCGAGGGCCATGGCGGGGCGCAGCGCGGCTGCTGCGAGGTGTGCGTGAGCGGTGGGGACGGCGAGGGGAATGAGTTTGTCATCCCCGCCGCGTGCGAGGGAGCGAGGGGCCAATGGTTCGCGCAGGAAAGCGAAAGGATTCTGCAAAAGATTGGCCAGAGGAGCCTGCCCTTTGTTCTGAAGAACCAGCAAACGTTCGGAGGAGCAGGGACGTATGTGGTCAGGACAGAGGAGGAGCGTGGGAAGGTAGTTGGTGATCTGCGAGAGGGCGTCTTGAGAAAGCTCATGTCGAGCGTGACGGAGGCGAATGCGCATCTGCGGCCGGGCGCCCTCATTCTGTCCGACCTCGTCGACGAGCCGATTGGGGACTACGGCCTGACGTTTTTCGTCACGGAAGAAGAGGCAGAGCCTGTATTTCTTGCGGCGTCGGAGCAGATGATTGGCGAGGGAAACGCCTGGATCGGCAGCACGATCAATTATCGACGCCAAGATGAGCTCAAGAACAAGTTCGCCAAGCTGGTCAAGGAGGTGGCGGCCTGGCTTCGGTCGCACGACTATGTCGGACCGGCTGGGGCGGACGTCCTAGAGACGGCGTCCGAGTCGGTCATGGACGAGGGTGTCGATGCTGACCTCACGAGGTACCACATTGTTGACCTCAATGTGCGGACGTCGGGATCTTTGGCGCTGCCGCTCATGAAGACGCACTTCACAGGTCGGGGTCTCGACAATGCATCCTCATTCTCCATCAGCTCCAAGCACAGCCGCGATGAATTCGTGGCCCTTTTCCGAGACGATTTTGAGTCGGGCAAGATGTGCATCCTCAGCTGGTATCAGGACCGTGTCTCTGGAACGAGCCTAGCGGACGTGGCCGTGGGAGCCGCGACGCCAGAGGACTTGAAGAAAGAAATGCAGAGGGTGCGCGATGCCACGGACGAAGTGACCTTTTAGCCATGAGAGTTTTGGGGTTGCGGGTAAACGAGCACGACAGAGCTGATAGGGATCCGGTCATAGACACGACGTAGGGACACGTCGAAGATGCTTCATACCCCGTGCACATCATGATGCCTCCCTGACGACCATCTGCTCAGGCTGCCTTCCCTTGCCCTCGGCCAAAACACCCGCCTTCCTCAAGATTTCCACGCAGTTGTTCACCACCTCGGGCTTGACGCCCTCAACACCCGCCGTGAACTTGACCGTCTTGAGCCACTCCCTCGCGTCAGCCTCGGAGTAGTCCAGATTCGTGCTGATCCACCGCACAGCCTCCTCCTGGTTCTCGTTGAAATGCACGATTCCCTTGTCGAGCTTTCCGAACAGATCCTTCACCCTCGGGTCCAAGGCGCCCTCAGCAGCGAGCGCTGTTGACGCGACAATCTTCCAGCTGCTCCACGGGGTGTAGATCTCTCCCACCCTGCGAATCTCGCCCGAGTCGTAGTACTTCTTGGATGTGAAGTGTTCCCACATGAAGTAGTCGGCGTCGCCCTTGTTGACAGCGTCTCGGAGGTTGGCAAAGGTATTGAGGATGACCGTGTCGGAGAAGGGCGCAGCGTCCGCGGATCCGAGCCAGCCCTGCTGGTCGGCGAGGACGAAGCCCATGATCTGGCTGCCCGAGCCGATGCGGGAGACGCCGATGCGCTTGCTTCGGAGGGAGGAGACGGAGGCGATTTCGGGGCGGGAGGACCCTGTCGAGATGGCCCAGCCTGAAGCGCGTCAGATCATCTCCCGGAACGCACACGATCAAACGTAGAGGAGTGTCGGGTTGCCGGGCAAGGATCGCAAGGGGAACTCACAGAGAGGGGTATCGACGTAGGTGCCAACGAGACGGTAGCCGCCGTCGCCCTCGACGCCCTCCTTGCCGAGGCCCGCAATCCAGCCTTCAGTGAGGCCGATGCCAATGTCAATCTCACCGCCGCGAAGAGCTGTGATCATGTGGCCTGTGCCGGAGGGGAAGGGCACCAGTGTCGCCTCGAGGCCATAGTGCTGCTGGGCGAAGTGCAAGGGCGCGGAGAAGTGTTCGGGCACGTAGCCGATGCGGAGCGGTGACGACGCCATGACAGGCTGCGAGATGTAGACTTGTAGGAGGGTCTTCCAATTCTGGTCAGCGGGGAATGAGGCCGTGCTGATGATGGCGCTGACGTTCAAGAAATCGAGACGCGCAAGGTATGTCACTGAGCAAAGCTGTCTCGGTTGTGACGAGGAGCGAGAAGCTGCGGGGTCATCGGCAAGCTTGGCTTTGGTGGGGTGAATGCGTAGTGGGGTAGCTGCTCGGACAAGGCTGTTTCCCATCGACAATGGCTGGCCGATCAAAGATGCAATTGATGGGATTGAGAGTCTGCACTTAAGCAGATCAAACGGTCTTTCTTGGGCGGTCATTTTATTTTTATCGGAACCATTTATAGGGTCGCAATTGGTCATGAAACCATGCTGTGCCTAACACTAAGCCTGGCCCGATGCCATGATATCGTCAAGTGCAGTGTTGATCGTGAGCCGCATTGGAGGGATAAGCGACGATCAGGTTTGAAGCACAGTCCGTGGAGTCCATGATCCCCGGTTACATACATGAGGAGAAGCGGTCTCGAGAGATTGAATATTGGCAAAGCTTCAATGATTTATGGAATTATCTGCGGCTGATATATAACCCATACTAACTGGAAAACTCGGGTCTCGTCCGCTCTCTTATTAATGAGCCAGTTAAAACCAGACTGTTAGTTGAGGCCATGACAAACATCGACTGCTGGATTTTGTATATTAAAAGAAAAAAAAAGATTACTGACCTGATCCGCTACTCCCAGCCTTCACTTCATCCTCCTTCGCCACTAGATCGTCTCGTTCTCGAGAAAGAAGTGCCCACTGGCCCATACAACCTTTAACAGGTACCATATCACGGGCGAGACTGGGGTGATATCTACATAGATGGTGGCCACTTTTGGGATTCTAAGTTTGATAATCGCAAGGTGCTCAAGGTTACGCCAATAATTAAGTTGAATTGTGGTGAATAACAGCCATCAGGGGATCGTGATAATCAGGAAACAAAGCCCCAGCGTCACGGAAAGTCAAATAACGTATCTGGTAGCATTAACGAAACCTTTTTGGATGCTATGGCTACAATGGTCCCTAGGAAACCATTCGAGAAGAGAGGTAAGAGTGGTCAAATTAAGCCACGGAGATCGTGGAAAGCCAAACTGGGCCTCGATTACCTTCATGCATATATAAATGCCTGGCTCGCCAGACTTCAATTTCCGTCCAAACTTCAGCCGCTACTTACTCTTCCCGTTATCTGCGAAAACAGCTCTCGTGAAACCCTCACTAGAATTCGGGCGTAGCCCTCACACCAGAGGAGGATTGCTTCTTCCACCCTTGCAGCCCTCACGCGCGAAACAGCTAAATCAACATGGCGACAGGACGTGGCGTCACAAGACGCTACAACACGAGGCTTCATACGCGGACCAAGATCGGCTCCTGGCTCTGCTTGCCGACTGAACTCCGGATCATTATTCTGGAGACATGTGCACGCGACAAACATCCTGGCTGGTCTACACTTGCGTCTGTGTGCCGAGAATGGCAGCACATCATCGCGACGGAAAACCTCCGTAAACTGGAACTTCGCTCATCCTGTCTAGAGAGTTTTGGACGGCTCATGACTATGCAACGAGATTTCGTCCGCCACATCTGGCTCAACATTGAGGTGCAGCAATACAAATGCCCGCATTTCCCGTTCTCCCGATTAAACGGACCTCTCATCGTAGCCGCAATCCGGAAGATCTTTTCCATCCTCAGCAAGTGGAAGCCAGGGCAAGAGTTGACTCTGGAGCTACACGCGTATCGTCCCAGCGACCTGGGCTATTACTTCAAGGGCTTTTATTTCGCCACCGACGCCGAGGGCGACGTCAGTTCTGGAGCTCCTCACCCCAGATGGCACCATCCGCGCCCCAGGTGGTTCGATCGCTTCAATTTTGGAACTCCATCCAGAAAAGCCATATCGGGCCTTTTCGATCAGATTACGCTCGATTTCGGCCAGCAGAAGCTACCCCGCGTCAAGGTCGTGACACGCCTAGTAGTACGCCGACATTTACGTCGAAGGCTCAATTACTGGTCACTCAAACCTGTATTGGAGAGCCTTTGTGGTCTACGGCACATGGTGTACGAGCCGTGGCGGGGATGGGAGAATTCGTGTGTGAGCAGAGCTGATATGGGTGAGTGGGCATCTTCATGCCGAGATCCATGGACTTCGAGACGCCGTGCTGCGTGCTTGCGCTAACGGACTACTTGGTTAGAACATAGCCTGCTGTTCCAGCAGGGTCTCCCTGCAACAGTCAAGACATTGACTGTGTTTGAAGATTTCAACGAAGAATTCGCTGTAATACTGGCCCGCAACAACGGCGTGGCCTGGCATAGCTGTGTTGCCCGGTACCGGATCGCGGATCCGGGCTTGGGTGCGATTTTTGCCTCTCAAAGTCGCAAGCTTGAGCGTCTCTCCGTGTCCTTCTTGGTCGACGCCAAGGACTTCTTTGATTCCTGCGTCAAGCAACATGGGACCTGGCGCCACTTAGAGACTCTGGCCCTGACAGTTCGACTCTTCCAGCAAGAAACGCCCCACCAAGAGATCAATGATCTTCTACTCAAGGCCAGCGAGATAGCGGTACGGATGCCCAAGTTGCGTACCATGGTGCTCTGGAACGGCGCCAGAGGGAATGCATGCGCTTTCGTGTTCCAAGCGAAGGCAGGCTGCGCATTTATCACCTGGCGCAGCACGTGGGATCACGAGATAAACCATAGGGTCGAGGAGGCATGGGAGCAGCTTGCGTCGCGGGACCATTCGCGTTACGTCCTCACCAAAAAGGAGAAGATTCAGGGCCAAGTAGCGTCGCACGGCGATGCTATTCACCTATTAGACTTACCCTGCCAGGTGGTCGAGCCTGCATCCCTGTGGCAGATCCGAAGGGAGGGAGCATTGTCATTATTATAAACCACGGAGGAGAGTACCGATGGAACTGTTTTTGGGGCAAAGATCGGCAGAGGTAGGAGGAGGGGTGGGGGAACAGGGTGTCACTGTCGCGGGGCAGATTCACGAGTCGGTGGGTGGCCTGAATATATCGTGTAACGGTTGTCGAGGCGGTTGGGTTCGTCTCAGTCCCTACCAAGGTACGCAGCTCCTGTAGGACCAGGCTCGTGTTCACCCGAGTACGTCATGTCAGCTTGCAAGTACAGCATCAGGAATTATACAAACATCTAAGTGACGCTACTTGGAAACACTAAGCGGAATTGTCACACGAGTTCCAAAGAAATTGGAGGTGGTTGCAGGTGCTGCGCGGGTAGCCATCGCATCGATCTTGTAGGTACCTATATCAGGTGCCTGGTCCGCCGAAGCCAGTCACTCCAGTGGACCTTTAGTGCCTGATGGCTCACTTCTAGTGACAGTCACCCCCTGAAGCAGGCACAGTGCTGGCCACTCGTGTCCATCACCGGGTTCACAAGACGTGACCAAGGGCCTGACATCTTCCAAATCGGCCAAGCCGGAGTCATCCCAAGTTCCCTACCAATCTTTAAGTATGAGCCCACGAATGCGATGAAGGGCCTCAAGGGCGAAGAGCATCCTAGCTGCCTTGCTCATGGGTCTCTGGACGACTATGGAGGCTCTCACTGACTGAGAATGAGCGCAACATGAACTCGCACGAGACGAACATGGGCCGATAATGAGACGATGCTAGATATTTATACTTACACACACACACACACAAGTTTATTACGCCTGGTGGCCTAGAGCCAATAAGGCACTATTTGCTATTGTACACGGTCGCTTCCTCTAGTCTGTCCGAATCTCCCAAGCCCATAATAGGTCATCTTTCCGCTCTTGCTTTTTCGTCTTCTGTCTTGCCGCCGGTTTCTCGTGGGGTTTAGATTGTATTGGCAAGCTGCTTGAAGGCTATTCTTCAAGTGTTCAGAGTCCTATCTACGGCGACTGAAGCGGCGCTTACTGTTGTTGACACGAGGTGTGGGTGTTAGGTTCGGTTAGTAGAAGAAGGGGGGTTTTGGTGTGTTAGGCCCCCGCAAGGGATCACACGTTCTCCAGTCGGCCCGTGGCCTTCGCAAAGCCCCGAACAACCCACTCCTTCCGGGAAGCCGCCCGGCCGGCCGTGGCTGCGCCTTAACGACCCCGTAAGCCTCATGCTCCATCGGAGACCTTCCCACAGGAGTGCCTCGGCCCCGGGCAAGGCCGAGACGGTGCCGCCCCGTGCTCCTCACGGGTCGCGGTCGTGTCATCCGAGTTTGCACCTTAAGCCAGCCGCAACGGCAACCCGTCTCTAAGCCGACCGACATGCGCATCCGTCCTCTCGAGCCACCGTGTCGTCTCCGCAGGTCTCAAGTGCAGGGGCCACCACGCTGGCGATACCACGTCAACGCGAGACGGCCTAGGTACGAGCTAGGGGATATACTGGATACGCGGACGATGTCATGTTCCATGACGGCCCAGATAGAACTGGGAGCGTATCCGGCGTTTATACTTACAGCTTTGGGATATACCTGCTCTTGTTACGACACGGATCCAAAGGCCCACGCACTCGCCGTATTCCTTCGATGCGACAGCCCAGGGGCGTCGGCCCGGATGTCACTGCACCCTGCAAACGCAAAGACGGGAAGCTTCTTCTATCCCCCGCCGCTGGTGAGCAATGGTCCCCCACCGGTGGTGAGCAATGGAGGCGCCCGATCGTCTGAAGCAGCGTAGCATCGTCGCCCCATGCCTGTTGAAACGTCTATGAGACCGTCTGATCTACGAGCCAGGGGGCCCGCCTCTGTGTCATCGGGTCTCACGACTGTGGGGCGCCTGTCACAGCGCCGGCCCCCGCCTGAGCTTCAGGGCGCTTTCAAACCACCATTCGAACAACCGGTGCGCCGTCTCGTGATGGCTGCGCTCGGTTTATAATACGGAATGAGCCCCTCTCGCCTGCGACCTTGGTCCTTCTCGTGGCACTGCTGGTCTGTCTGCTGGATTTCGGTCGTTGCTTCTCCTCCATCGTCTTTCTTTCTCACCTCTGACGGCCGGGCTGTCCTTCATTCATCCTTCTTTCACTCTTCTTCAATCCTTCTTTTGAGTGGCCGGCTACTCTCCCTGACTTGCTACGCTGCTTGATACTCTCCTTGATACCCTCATCACGCCCAGGGAAACTCCGTGCCACAACCTCGCAGTCCGACGACAGCAACGACAACAAGAACGACGCTCTCCATTCCGCTCCCGAAATTCCTAGCTCTGTCATAATGTACACCATGCGGCTCCTCCTCGCCCGCCTCCTCCTGGCCCTGTGCCTAACCCACGCCGTCTCAGCCGGCCGCCTCCTCACCAACACCGCCGACGCCGTCCTCATCGCCCGCCAAGACGCCGCCCCGGCCGGCGGCAACCCGCTCGCCCAGCCCCAGTGCCTCGAGTACTCGCGCACGGCCAACTTCTCCACCATCGGCTCCAACATCACGCTGCGCTCAGCCTTCATCCAGGCGTCGCCCTTCGGCACCCACCAGAACCTCGACTTCCTCGCCGCCATGGTCGTCGCGCTGCCGCCCATGACGGCCGACACGGCCCTCAACGCCGCCTGCGGCAACCTGACGACCGTCGCTGCTGCCGAGGCCGCCAGGAACTTCTCCGAGGGCAACATTGCCGGGTTCCCCACGTCGCTGACGGCCGATGCGACGGTCGCCGACTGGCAGGTCATCTTTTGCATGTTTGCCATTGTCGTGTTCATGGGCATCCCGTGGCTGTTCATGCTGGGCTGAGGGTCTTGGTGTTGTGGCTGTTGCGCGTGCGGAGAGCGAGGAGGGCTCAAACAGGCGTCTTTGGCAAAGGCCGTGATTGACATCGCGGAGCATGGTGGTTTGGGAGCAGAGGTGGGGAAGCGGGTTAAATAGGTAATGCTTCAAATGATGGCTGTATCAAGTCTCCTCCACTCTTGCGTTTCTGATGCACATGATTTCCCTGCATTGGCGGTGTTCGCTCCTCCCCTGTGATGCCTGCATGTTCACAAGAGCAATTGCATCGTCTGGATGACGCTGTTATTGCATCGTGTCATTGTGTCAAGGCGTGCACTCCGTTGCGTGTCTGACCGAGAAGGAAGATCTGGGAGGAGACCACGACCAGCCATGTTGAAGAAATTACGTAGCTGATCCATATCCCGGGCGTCGATTCAACCCACAAGCCTTGCAGCCATCATCTGTTTGCGGTGCACCTTCTGAGGTCTTGGATTCTAATCTAATGATGAAGACAACAACCCGGACGCGCTATGCAGGCCTGTTAAGTTCGAGATCATGTAAACCAACAGTCCGAAACAGCTCTGCTCTACAAAATTTCACCTGCCCAAGCTTCGAAGAACAATGTCTATACGACAGACCTACCGAGCAGCGAAATCCTCCTCATCCTCTGCTGCAGACTCATACCCCATGCCGTCAACCCCTTCCTCGCCGCTCTCCGTCTGCACCGGCGGCTTCATGTGTTTCGGCTCCCGTACCATCATGAATGCCGCCATGGCACATGTGTGCAAAAACGAAACATACAGCCACGGTAGTCCCCTCATGATGCCGCCCATGTGCATTCCCGCTGAAAAGGTCCATGCCAGGACCGGTCCACCGATGAAGGCTCCGAGGGTCTCGACGATGCTACACATGGCGTAGAGGCGCGAGGTGTGTTCCTTTTCGACAAATGCCGTGATGAGAGCGCGTGCCAAAGGCGGCGTCGCGGAACCGAGTGTGCCGAGTGCAATAGCCAGAAGAAACGGCACGATGGATGGGCTGATGGCTTGCAAGAATGCCGAGATGGCAAGGATGCCATACGAGGCACGGGTCAGGAGGAGGTCCTTGGTGAAGTCGTTGAGGCGCAGACGACGGCGAGGCTTGAGGAGGTGGGCCGACAGACGTGGCAGGGCGGTGAGAATGAGGAGGTGGCAGAGGGCGATGGGTGAGAGGATATAGGATGTCTGGGCGAGCGACCAGGAAAAGTACTTGCTGATGTACTGAGAAAGAGTCGACGTACTAGAAGTAAACATTGTACTAGCAGTCAGGGGTGCCAAGAGGCAGAAGAGAACGCTGCGGTTGCGGAGCAAGACTTTGGCGCCGGCGAGCTCGGCAAGAGATGTACGGACATGGTCCTTGACGGTTGCCACGAAAGGCTTAGTCGGTTCAGGTATGGCGTCGCCATCGGGCAGCTTGACGCGTAACGTCTCGGGCAAGAGACTGGCAGCTGTGAGAATGACTGGACTCAGGCAAAAGACGATGCGGATGGGAACCCATGGGCCGTATGTCTCGAGCAGAAAGCCGGACAGCAGAGGCACAAGAAGTCCCGCGATAACGGCGCCTACAGAGAGGTACAGAAAATGAGTCGACCGGTTAGCTTCGTTGCTGACATCTGCAGCCATGGCATAGATGTTGTTGATGGCAAGGGGCACACCGCCTCCAATCAAGAAGAAGACATGTCCCAAGAGAAGGACCCAAATGCTTGGGAAGTGCGAAAGCGAGAGGACGAACGGGCCCCAGCCAAATCCAAGTAGAATCCCCACGTAGGCGAGAAAGAAAGCCGGCTTACGACCCATCCTGGATAGATGTCAGTAAAGCACCATGTATGTGAACATGACGGTCAAACTTACCTGTCCGCCAACACACCATATGGAAAAGCGACGACTAGCGTGACAAGTGACGCCACCAGGGCCCCAATGCCACCTAGGTAGGCCAACTGAGACTGAACATCATCGACCTTGCAGTCCTTCTCATCAATCGGCTCGGAGATGTCTTTGTGGTAGTGCACGTGGCAAATGGCGTCTTCCATCAGGCGAACCATGGGCGTCATGAGCAGAACCCCGCTGCCAACGAGGATACCCTTGATGGTGGCAAGCAGCAGGACGATAGCAAAGGGCGTGTCTGGTCGGAAGCGATTGAAATTGAGCTTGGATGTCGCATTCTTCCAGGTTGTCCGCCCGGACTGCCATCGCGCGCGACCTCGCGATGCTACTGATGGCGAGGCAATCCAGGGCTCGTCTTCCGCCTCAACATCGGGGAACAGGGCAAAGTCTTCGATGTCATCCTCAAGCAGAGGCTCGGCCTCTGCATCTGCGTCGTCGCGATACCGATTCATGATAAATAAATGCTTGATTCCATCTGATGGCGATCGACCTTGATGGAATTGGCGTTATTGCCCGTAGTAATGTCGTCGGGACCAATGTCGATGTTTGAGCTGAGGTTGATGACAAGCAGGCTCAAACAGGTCTAGTCACTTGGGTTTGGTGGATGACGAGTACGTCGCCCTCGGTGGCTGAGGCGGCGTAATTTACGCCCCGTAAGGCTGACTTTCAGTGGCTTGCCTTCCTGAAACGCCGTCCCACACGACGACAACCGTGAACACGACGGCGTGCGATCTCTCCCACAACTCAATCTGGTTCCGTGGTTCCATCATCCAGACCATTGGTGAAATCACGAGTCAGCCGTCGAGAGTCGTACTTTTGCTCCTACTGCTTCATGCGTCAAGCTTTGTTGCATTGCATCCGACCCAACTGCCTGGTGGAACAAGACAAGAAAGCAACATGAAGAAAAGATGCATGCACCCAGCCACCCCCGGTTACCCATCGCACCCATGGTCGCTGTACAAGGCCTCGCAGACGATGCGAGCCTGCCTCGGGTTCGGGGGTTTACGGGGTTTAACTTTGCGATCGTGGGTTATCCATTAACCTGGACGTCGGGGACCTGCCATATCCCGAGATTCTCTTCCATGCTGATCACTCGATCAGGATCAGGATCACCAACAAAGTGCGTCTACGTTTTGTCGGATATAAACTCCTTCTTGCGTAAAGGCCGACTGTGTCCCCCAAGGCAATCCAACCCAACACCTTTTAGTTCTCCGACTGGCAGCTCGGTCACCGCGGACATGCATTCTTTTATCAATCTGGGTGCCTCGAAGGCACAACATATCCATTTACTAGACCATCCTTCCACCCGACGGGTCAATGGGCACTATCCAAGGTCCAAACCCCGTCTTGGCGAGACAGAATCTTCTCGGGCTCGACGCAAACAGGCAACATTGGCCGGATGAGTGTTGTTCCAGTGAGCACGTTGGCCAGCACAGCACGCGAGTCAAAACGCCAGCTGAGGACCCCCGCCTGACCCCCACGAACCTGCATTCCCCGTTGAGTTTCACCGAGAAGCGTCCACCAAGCCCACGACTTCCGGCATTATATCCGACTTCCGAGCCCACTTAGACCAGCTTCTAGAGCCCCCGAGCCCTCAGCAACAGACGACGGCGTGGCTGCGGAGCGGGGATCGGGCCTGTTCGAGATTGACCGCTCAACTCGCCTAGCCGGCCATGCCGGAGATGTGCCGACTCATGGCTCAACAGGATGCTACGTAGTGTCGAGGTGAAGCAGGCTTCGCTGCTTGTCAGGAGGGCCAGGTCGACAGGGATCGGTCCACCAACGTCATCCGGCCGCCGGTGTGGGTGGCTCAGTGGCGTGCACCCTCCTCCTGTGAGCCAGGGGTGCAAAGGTTTCTGTGCAACTTGCCCCGACAAAACTGCCCGAATACCCCGACTCCCGCATACAGCAAATGCCAGAAACGTCCAGCGACAGGGGAGATCCCCACACAGCAACTGCCCGCGAAATCAAGCATAACTGGGCAACGCCACAGGCCACGAGACCAGGTGTCCAGGGCTGAAGTGCCGATCCTCCCTTGTAAGGACAACAGCACTGTGACCGGCATGACGAGCAGGATGAGCAGGACGAGCAGGATATCGGGCCATCCGCCCAGGAGGAGCACCGACGCCGTCCTTACTTGGAACGTGCTACGAGACGATGCAACGTGATGGATTTCTCGAAAACATCTTCATCACAGCGGGCCTGTTTGTCCAGCTTGACAAATTTTGCATCTCCAGGACAAGTTATTGGAGATTGAGGGCGTGGGGGTTCTCCACGTTCGCCCCATTTGACCCCCAACATTCGCCCCAAGCGGCCCCCTCCTAATTATCCCCCCAACACGAGAACAAGCCCGCCGCAAGGAGACGGACTACGCGGGGAAGCATGGCGACATGGTCCGGCACTTTACACACGCTACAGCGGCGTGGAAGAGAGGAGCACCTCCCGGGGGGCGCTCACTGCTTCCCACACCATTCCATCCCATCCCAAACAATAGCTTGCGGAGACTAGCGGGGCCCCCTGCTTTTCGTTGAACCCCATCGCAAGAGCCTGACTATGGATCGTGCTTGTCAGTCCACGGGTTAGTTTCTGGGACCGACCCGCCGGTCCGTCAAATTCTGAGGCATCGCGATGAGGAACCCCCACGCCTTCTCTCCAACATCTTCTCCACGTCATACAGGCCACTTTGTTCCTGGCTCCATGGGGTTTTGGCCGCTAAAACCGGGGTAACGCTCATGGCACTTGGGTCCGCCACTGAACGCTTTATATGAGAGGACGATCCCCCTTCTGTCGGGCCAGTCTGTACTGATCAGCCGTTCCGTCTCTTACCTCTCTCTGCTCCTCCTACCTCAGCTCTCCGAATCCCAACATGAGCGACGCACCCAAGGTAGATACCCACAATGGGCCTGTCCACGACCCCGATCACCTCGAGGCCGCGCCTCGCAGGTCTTCCGACAAAGGTCTCGCCGACGGCCCTCCCAAGGGCGGTGGTCCTCTGTCCGACCCAATCTATCGCGCCAAGGTTGAGAAGAGCATGAAGCGCAAGCTCGACACGCGGTGTTCGCTGTTTGTTCTGATCTATATCATGAACTATCTCGACAGGAACAACATCGCAGCTGCCCATCTCCGTGGTCTGCAGGACGACCTCAACCTCAACTACTCGCAGTACGCGACGTGTTTGAGTATCCTCTACGTTGGATACATTCTGATGCAGGTGCCTTCCAACATCCTCATCAACCGCATCGACAGACCCTCTTGGTACATTGCGGCAGCCATGCTGCTGTGGGGTCTCATCTCTACCCTTTCTGGTGTCGTCACCAACTTCGGAGGCATGGTTGCCACGCGATTCTTCCTCGGCTTTGTTGAGGCTGCTTTCCTGCCCGGAGCTCTTCTCATCCTCTCGAAGTGGTACACCAGCCGTGAGCTCACCAAGCGCAACGCCATTCTCTTCTGCGGAAACCTGATCTCGAACGCGTTCTCGGCGCTTATCGGTGCCGGTGTCCTGTCCAACATGCAGGGTGTTCTGGGCCACGCTGCTTGGCGCTGGCTTTTCTGGAGTAAGTTTGCAAGCTTCTATTCCATCAATCATCAAGAACTTTCCAGCTAACAGTTTGTCCAGTCGAGGGTGCTGCCACCATGGCCATTGCCATTGCGGCCGCCTTCATTCTCCCCGATCTGCCCCACAACTCCAAGGGCTTCACCGAAGAAGAGCTTCAGGTCGCTCAAATGCGCATGACGGAGGACGTCGGCGAGGCAGATGCCGATTCTGCCGAGCAGGGCGCCCTTGATGGCTTCTACATGGCTGTCAAGGACTACAAGATCTACCTCATGATGATCACCTTCACCACCTACGTCATCGGTCTGTCGTTCAACGCCTACTTCGTAAGTCACCACCGCGTCATCTGCACCTCGACTACAAACCACGTCCTAACCCCTTGCAGCCTACCCTCACTGGCACCCTCGGCTTTGGATACGTCCCCACCCTGCTCATGAGCTCCCCGCCGTGGGCCTTCGCCTGCATCGTCTCTCTCATCAACGCGTGGCACGCCGATCGCCAACAGGAGCGTTTCTGGCACATTGTCTGGCCCATCTGCATGGGTATCGTCGGCTTCGTCATCTCAATGGCCACCGACAACGTCGCCGCCCGCTACGTCGCCCTCTTCCTCCAGGCAGGCGCCTACGCTGGCTTCATCGTCTTCTACTCCTGGATCTCGTCCTCCTTCCCCCGGCCTCCGGCCAAGCGTGCCGTCGCCATCGCCATGATCAACGCCTTCTCCCAGATTGGCAACATCATCGGCTCCTACGTGTGGAACCTCGAGGCCAACGGCTTCCGCGGCAGCTACGGCATCGTGCTCTCCATGTTCGGCGTCACCATTGTCGGCTGCTACGGCTTCCGCGTCGTGCTCGTCAACCTCAACAAGAAGATCGAGCAGGGCGGCGCCGCGTGGGAGACGCACGGCGATGTCGCGGCGCAGACGGCTGAGCTCGCTCAGGACGATCCCACCAGGCTGCCTTCGACATTCAGGTACCTCGTGTAAGGCGCGCCTTGAGGCGACCCAAAATGTAGATTTAGTAGTTAATGAAGCACATGATTGCTCGACTGTCAATACTAGGATACCAAAGAACACAGTATGGTGGTGCGTGTGTGTCTGTCGCTGCTCTGAATGAGTGGTAGTTTCGGGAAAGTTTCCGTCTGCTCGGATACAATATTCGGAAAAACATGCGCAGCAAAGTCCCATATACAGCACGATGTAACCGTACTCAGGCTGTTGAAATACGAAATGGCTCCCGACGGGGCATTGCTCGGTTGAATATAGAGTAGGTCCGATTGCCAATGTGCCGTGTGTGACGGGACTGAACGAGTCTGCGACCGATATTCGCGACTGCATCACCGTGACAGTTGACACACGCGGCACGCATCGTTCAAGTTCCTGATAGTCTGCTTCGAGCCATCGTCGGCGTGCGCACGCTTGCCGCGGGAATTCCAAACTCATGATCTGGAGCTTGCATTCAACTTACCCATGCTTCACTCCAGGAACACGCCAAGCCCGATCACTCGGACCACAAGGACGCATGTTACAGCGACCGGCACTTTGAGTACGCGGGGAGGTTTTGAAGCTGTAGTTTGTGCGATGGTGGTTTAGGACAGCGCTCCTAGTTGACCGCTTTAAGAAGGGTAGAGTTACGAAGTGTTCATGATTGCGGGCAGGGCTTCTATTGCTACAGTGCCATTTTCATACATCGCTTCTTCTTGACGTCTACCCATGGTGTGTTCGAATTATGCAGGGTTGCAGGCCAAAAGCAGATATCTGGTTCAGCGACTGTGGGTACATTAACAGCTATCACCCTGCATTTCTGCGGCGTATGGTTCTTTAACAATCCGAAACTACTAACGGCAATACCAGCAAGATGCAGTATTTGATGAAGATGATGAAGGTGCTGCCAGGCTGCTACGACCACTTCGGTGTCATGACAGCTGTTGTTCTGCATCACAGCCGGCGCGGTCTGGTTTCTGGCTGCTCATCAACAAAATTTGTAGCATTGGCCAGTTCATATGGATGGTGATTCTGTCGGGCATGCGTCATGCCAAGGGAACACTGATTGCGGGCATTGTTGAGCGTCGCTTGGAGATGCGAAGCTATAAGTAGCCAACGCAAGATGGGCCATTATGAGATATCAAATGGGATATCAAGAAAGCACCCCTGAACAACATAGAAAAGTTGCGGAGTGCAAGAGCGAGATGGGCATAAGCATAAGGGCAACGGATTGTCCAGTCAGGGACTTTTAGTTTGCTTTTCGATCACAGCTCATCCTTTTCCTCGCGGTCCTCTCGCGCGTGGGCCTTCGACTTGAACCCATCACCCTCGACAGCGATGCGCCTGAGACGAAACACCCGCGCAGAGTGCTTGACAACCTTGACCTCGAGATCGCCGCCGGCTTGGACCTCGCCGATCTTCTCACCAAATAGCCGCGGGTCTTCGTTGGCCAGTCCCTGGGCATACGGGATTTCCGTCGCGTTGTACCAGTTCGCGGCGCGGAGGACATCTGCACGGACGCCGTCGTCACTGGCCCCGATGAGAGCTTCGGCCGTCTCGAGGGGCATGCGGTGCGCCCACAGATCGTGAACGGACCAGCCGACGCGAACGTGGGGCGCCGACCCGCGCGGTCCATCGCCGACGAAAATCTCGGCGAGGGAGGCCTTCATGTCAAGATCGGCGCCGGCGGCGTTGAGGAAGATGACGGTCTGGTCGCCGTTGGCGAGTCGGCCGCTCCATATGTGGGCCTCCTGTGCGGCATACTCGTCGGCGACGGGGACGCGTGGGGGACCGATGTCTCGGCGGACACGGTAGACAGCGCGGCCGTGGGGGTCCTGACTCAAGGCAATGATGGCGGGGTTGTTGATGATGGAGAGGGCGGCAGAGTCCATGATGCGGCATGATGCGGAGGTCGTTGCCGAGCATCACCGGGGACTTGAGAGCCGCCCACAAGGCGAAGTGGGCCTTGTACTCCTCGTCCGTCATGCCGCCCCGGCCTACCTCGAGCATGTCAAGGTCATTCCAGCCACCCGGGATGGCACGGTCGGCAAAGGGCGCGACCTTGTTCAGGATGAAGAGCACGGAACACTGCGTGCCGGGGGCGACGCAGAAGGGGTCGGCAACCGAGGCACAGCTGCATAGGTCATCGGGTCGCGTAAAGGAGTCGTAAATATCGCCAGACATGCGCCAGGCATGGGCAAGAGATGCGCCCCACTGAGTAAGAAAAAAAATAGCAGAGTTAGCTTGAGCGGTGTGCTGTGGTAGACTTCCGGTGATGAAGCCATCGTGAGGTCTTGGCAGATGCCAAGAGAGGGGCCAGTCAGGGATCAGGGGCTAATTACAGAGGGGCCCAAGGCAAACACTGAATAGACTGAGCTCACCGTGTGGACATAGTCCTCTCCCCAATTGCAGAGATTTAAGGCAATGTCACGGCCCGACGCCTTCAGGGCATCAGACATGGCCTTGAAGCGGTTGAACGAAATTTCCGGCGTGCCCATGCGACCCATATGGAAGCAATTGTCATACTTGAGAAAATCAACGCCCCAGGCGGCGAAGCTATCCGCATCGTCTTGCTCGTGATCCAGCGATCCCGCTGTGACTGTGATCAGCGCCACATGATCATGGCATCAAGAAACTTGTTTTATCACAGCCACGCACCGAATCGAGCGCAGGTCAATTCCCCTGCACTGGAGTACATGCCGAATTTGAGGTTTTGGGCATGCAGGGCGTCGGAAATGGCCTTCATGCCGCGAGGGAACTTGGCCAGATCGGGCTGGACCTTTCCCTTGGCATCTCTGCCGGCAGGATCCTGCCAACAGTCGTCAAGCACGACCGTGTTGTAGCCAAGATCACGAAGGCCGAGGTTGACGATCCGTTCGGAGGTCCTGAGCAGCAGGTGCTCCGATACATCACAAGCGAAAGCATTCCAATTGTTCTGTGCACGTTGCCGTTGGCGGTCTGCATGTGCCATGTCTAGGAAAGCAATAAAAAGAGAGGAGTGAGTCGTACCCAACCCATTGGTGGGGTATCGGCCAAGCCATCAAACCGTGATGCAGCTCGGCCGACAAGAGCGAGGGCGACGACGATGGTGGAGTGTCGGGCCATGATGATTTCGTTGCAGTGGCGGGTGCGGGCGCCCCAGTCTGACAGACGGCTACTATCCGAAGGCCGACCTCATTTGCAGCTTGGCGGCGATCCTTGGCCGTTCTTTATGGAATTCAAACACCGACGTGCTTCTGAAAACGAGTGTCGAAGGCGCAACTAGTCGAAACCCAGATCGTGGCCCTATCTGTAGCGTCCCGCCACGCCTGTAGGCGATGCCGCATCTGCGCAAGTGCCGCAGTCGTCGTGTCGGGACCTCTACATGTAGAATGCAGTCATCAAAGGAGTGCCGAGGGCGCAGGATAATTAATCCTCGTGTCGGCGACTGAGACCCTGGGGTTGAAGGCCAAGATGGTGGGAAATAGCAGCGGCGAGTTCTCCGCTGCTCCACAGGGCAAGGTCCGTCCCCACGGGGGGCGTACACCGTACTTGGTGTGATCGCCGGGGATGAAGGTGCCGACGCGAGTCAACATCACGATAGCACCGCAGAGCGTGATGGAGTCGTCCCTGTAGATGGTGTTGGTAGGTATTCGAACATCGAGCACACGTCACGAGGTTTGGCGGAAGAGAGAAAAATCGAGGCGAGGCTGAGGCAGGTGCAGGGACATCAAGGTACATGCAGTAAAAGGATATACAGAAGGAGGAATTGTTGGGTATTACAATAACATGATTTTGCTCCTCCACTTCCTGCATGTTCAATCTTGTCCATGTGCTTTTTCCAGCAATATTCGTCAATGCAGACAAATGCAACGGACAACGTGTTGCCGATCAGGCAAGGTTCTGTTCTGTGACCCAGGAGTACTTTCATCCCAAATGTGGAGTCCTCATTTGATGCATTTGTTCTGTCGTTATCGCCCCGGTAAGACTCCTTACCGATGCTGGATCTGACCAATTACCTTCGTTTGGACTTCTGGAAGTCTCCTTTTGTACCTTAACAACAATCAATCCACTTTGTTCAATTCCGTGGTGACAGTTATGAGCCCGGGCGACGATACAGCTC